GGAAGTTGTTGAGTAGACAGGACTGTTGTGCGACTTGAAGTATTCTAGTGGTGTAGGACTGGAGTTTTGTTATGGCGGCATATGTCGGCGATTTGGGGCTGTTCTTCTTAGCCTCTGATTTTTTTTTTTTTTTTTTTTTTTGCACAGCACTTTTTATTAGTGGGCATTTAGCTGAAAGGGTATGATGAGTACCCTTGCAGTTTAGGTATATTAGAGCGGCACTGGTGGTCGTGACCTTCTTTTTCGCAGTTGGAACAGAATTTTTTTTCTTTAATGGGACAGTCGTTCGTTGAGTAATGGTAAGAGTAACTGTTCCAGCAGGGTGAGACATGAGCGAAACATTCTGGTTCTATGTGGCGTGGATGTATATGGAAATATGAGATGGCTAGTCCATCACAGAGAGCTTGAGTAACCATAGGAATGTTTGAAAAGGTGATTTTAATCATTGAAGAGGCATTGAGAATTCGTGTTATGGTGTCTAACAATAGAGGTCTTCAGGTCAGCAGTTGATAAAGATGTGAAGATCCTGCGCAGTTGAACTGTGGGTAATTCAGTGTCTTCATTGTAGTGCCGTCCAAGAGTTTTCATGTTTCATTGTCGTCAGTACAGAAGACAATAAAGGAGTCCTTCAGAGAGTGGATTGCTGTGAATTTGACCTGCAAGCAGGTCCTTACAACGGCAGCAAGGGCTAGTCTGGTGGAGTCATTTATGACTCCACTGGCTGGTTTTATCTTTACACGATACGAAAGCATAGTGAAAGAGTAAAGGCGATGCGCAGGTTATAAATTTCCCTCACCGACGGGGATCGAACGGATACATCTTGAGGTAAAGCGACTGTGATTTGCCAGTGGCACAATGTCAACAGTGGAATGTGTGCTCTTAAAATCGTCCAGTGTTCAGAACACACTCGGGAACAAATTAATTTCGAACACAGAGGTTGTTCTGTAGTAGCATGTCACTGATGTCAGCTAGGCCTGTATATCTTGTACAAGTATTTTAGCAATAAAGAGTTATTATTATATTATTATTATTATTAAGTTGCATATATATTGTTCCAGATATGGTTGAATGTGAATGACTGTAAAAGACAGGCAGTAAGCTGACACGTATTACCTGGAGTATACCTGGAGAGGGTTTAGAGGGTCAACGCCCCCGTGGCCCGGTCTGTGACCAGGCCTCTTGGTGGATCAGGGCCTGATCAATCAGGCTGTTACTGTTGGCCACACGTAACCCGAAGTTCGAACCACATCTCGGAAGGTCAGGAACTGACTTCAGATGCCTGTCCAGTGCCTTCTTGAAGACAGCCAGGGGTCTATTGGCAATCCCCCCTATGTATGCTGGGAAGCAGTTGAACAGTCTTGGGGCCCCCTGACACTTATTGTGTTGTATCTTATAGTGCTAGTGGCACCCCTGCTTTTCATTGGGGAGATGTTGCATCGTCTGTGGGAGTCTTGCTTTCATAGGGAGCGATTTTCGTGCGCAAGTTTGGTACTAATCCCTCTTTGATTTTCCATGTGTATATAATCATGTATCTCTCACGCCTGCATTTTAGGGAGTACAGGTTGAAGAACATGTGATCCAAGTAACTGAGGTGTTTTATTGCAGCTGTGTGTGCCGTGATGATTCTTTGTACACTTTGTACGTCAGCAATTTCACCTGCCTTGAAAGGTGCTGCTAGTGTGCAGCAATGTTCCTGCCGAGATAGAACAAGCGACCTGAAGAATGTCATGTGCTTGGTATTCCTAGTTTTGAAGGTTCTCATTATCCATCCAGCAGATATGATACAACGTTACTGTCTTTGAAAGCGAAATCTTCCGACATGATCACTCCCAGGTCTCTTACGTTGTTTTTCTCGCTCTAGTGTTTGTTTGGAATTTGTTTTATGCTACAATATAGTTTTAATTCCCTCACGTTTTCCAAATCGGAATAACTGAAATTTCTCATCATTGAACTTCATATTTTCCCCGGTTGATGTCCGTCTGGAGTCTTGCTGTGTCTTCATTGGAGGACATTGTCATGCAAATTCGGGTGTCATCTACAAAAGAAGACACGGTGCTGTTGCTTACGTCCCTGTCCATGTCAGATATGAGGATGAGGAACAGGATGGAAGCGAGTACTGTGCCATGTGGAACAGAGCTTTTCACCGTAGCCGCCTCAGACTTTACTCTGTTTACTACTACTCTTTGTGCTCTATTTGTAAGGAAATTATAGATCTACCAACTTTTTCTGTTATTCCTTTATCACGCATTTTGTGCGCTATTACGCCATGGTCACACTTGTTAAAGGCTTTTGCAAGTCTGTGTATACTACATCTGCGTTTTGTTTGTCTTCTAGAGCATCCTGGACCTTGTCATAGTGGTCCAGTAGTTGGGACAGACAGGCACGACCTGCTGTAAACCCATGCTACTCTGGGTTAACTGATGGGTATCTAGATGGGTGGCGATCTTGCTTCTGAGAACCCTTTCAAAGATTTTTATGATATGGGACGTTAGCGCTATCGGTCTGTAGTTTTTTGCTATTGCTTCACTGCCCCCTTTGTGGAGTGGGGCTATGTCTGTTGTTTTTAGTAACTGTGGGACGTCCCCTGTGTCCATGCTCCCTCTCCATAGGATGTTAAAAACACATGATAGGGGTTTCTTGCGGTTCTTGGTGAACACCGAGTTCCACGAGTCTGTGCCTGGGGCAGAGTGCATCGGCATATCATTTATCGCCTTTTCGAAGTCATTTGGCGTCACGATAATATCAAATAGGTTCGAGTCTACGAAATTCTGTTTCTCTCATAAAAAAATTCATTTAGGTCTTCGACTCTCAGTCTGGTTAGCGGCTCCCTAAAAAAACGAGTCATACTGGGACTTCAGTAGCTCACTCATATCATTCCTATCATCTGTGTAGGACCCATCCCGTTTAAGTAGGTGCCCAATGCTGGATGTTGTTCATGACTGATTTGTCATAAGAAAAGAAATATTTTGGGTTTCTTTCAATTTCATTTATGGCTTTTAGTTCTTCCCGCGTTTCTTGACCTTTATAATAATAATAATAATAATAATATCATTATTTACTACAAGTACATGTACAAGGTATACAGGCCTAGCTGACATCAGTGACATACTACTATATAGAAAGCCGCTTATTATGCTCAGCATTTCGGGTAAATTAGGTCAGTGCCCCAGGATGCGACTCACACCAGTCGACTAACACCCAGGTACCCATTTTACTGATGGGTGAACATAGGCAACAGGTGTAAGGAAACACGCGCAGTGTTTCTACCCTGGCAGGGAATCGAGCCCTAACCCTTGCCGTGTGAAGCGAGAGCCAGTGTCAAAGACAAGTCGACAGAGTAGACTTTCATTACAAACAAAGCTTACGCTCATTAGAAATTTATCACGTTTCAAGTATCTAGCACAAAAATCTAAAGGACCTAGGATCAATTCTGGGAGAGTAGGAACGCGTGGGCAAGTTTTATTATAGCATTTGCTGCTCCACTCTTCATTTAGCCGTAGACTGAGTAAGGCCTAAATGAAAACTTATTATATAGTAAATACACAGAGGTGCGCATCTCCAGGTGCATTCATACTGAAAGCTTACTTTTAACACTATTTTTGGGTTTTAGTACTCTTGACAGCTGGTGTACATGTGACCTGCAGCATTAAAACTTAGTCAGCGGACTTAAAACCAATATAAAAAACCAACCACTTAGCAGTAGATGTTAGTCGACTATTTTGGGCTACATCTTTGAGAAGAGGAGTCAAGGTTCCAAAAAGACTTAATGCACACTGGTTTGCATACTTGTGTTAACTCATCGGGGATGTTAATATGAATAACGTCATAGTTTCGCATTAAATCAATTTTCAAAGTTTCGGCAGTGTCACTAGATATTTAAAGATCCATTTTCTATAACTGAGAAGATGCTTAAGAGAGAATGTGTTTAATGGATAACTGGAGTAAACTGGTAGCTGCACTCAAATTGAAACTTTGTTAACATTTGTTCAAATTTGTAATCGGGAGAGGGTCAGCCATCCAGAAAAATCAGTGTGACATCGAGGATTGTCTGTCTTATTTCCATTGGGGTTCTTTAATCTTGTCGGCCAGGATGCGACCCACACCCAGGTACCTACTTACTGCTTGGTGAACAGAAACCAATGTTTTCACCCGTGCTTGATGTTGAACCACGTGCATGTGAGGACAGTGTTGCCAACCAAGCCACGGGACACAGTACCGTTAAATACCTTGGTCATAATATGGTATATATTTATGTGTAAAAAAGCAAAATAAGTGCTAAGCTCAGACATTCTATTATATAGAACGATTTAAAAGCTGCGGTATTAGGTCACGTTTTAGGTGTTCATCACGAACATCATATCATAAGGTCCTGTTATTTAACGTTATCATACCGGAAGGACATAATGGAGATTTTGACTTTTGTTTGTGATTAGCAAACATATTTTCTAACGGTTTTAGCAAGTTTTTTTTTTTTTTATCAATACAACACTCTTAATTTTTCAAGTAGCAGTTCTTCCTGGACGAATTTTGAACTAATATCTTGAGTTGGATTGTTCACTAGTGACATTCTCCAATATTTCTAAGTTTTTTTCTGAAATCTTCACATCAATGGCTTTACCTTTTCCAACCAACTTAGTTTTAGCAAACTTAACAGATTTATACGTCAACTTTATATGTGTGAAAAAGACATCGTAAATTTATTTCTGAAGCTCATAATTATATTTTGTCATATTTCTGTCGAATATCACCATTTTTGTCATAACCCTAGTTACACAAAACTAAACTGACTCACGAAATCGTAATGACACGATTGCAAACAAACCATACCCCGGCTGGGATTGAACCCGCGGTCAGAGAGTCTCAAAACTCCAGCCCGTTGCGTTAGCCACTAGACCAGCTCTTTTACACAATTCTTTAGTACAACGTATGTGCACTTTGCGTGGCTTGATGAAAATGCGCTTATCTTCAGGAGGCTAGAATGTTAATCACTCGATTCTTACCCTGTTTTTGCAAAGTTTGTCCACAAGGTAGTAATGATGTTCCGCAGTTTGAGGTCTTCCTTACGTTCTAGCGGAGTCCACAGAGGTCCGCCAGAGAACAGGTAGAAGAGGTCATCCATGTGAGTCACCCCTGGCAAGAAAGCAAACTCGGTGAATTCATACTCTTTAACATCACAGCCTAACTTAATTTTTATTCTAATTGAGTTACAACCACAATCATCACCACCACCTGTAACTAGCATATATGACGCATGGCAGTTTATCACAGCAAAAGTATGCAAATACTTTCAAACCTTCATAAGGCACTATAACCGTAAAATTACCATTTGAAGTCAAGGACGATTTCGATATTGGAGAATGCTATACAAGCTAAATCAATGAGGTATTCATGTTGCGCCTGTGAGAATGGTCAGTGTAGTGTATACTTTCAATAAGTCGTCATCCTAGAGTCAAATCGCAGTTGGTATTATCTTCTAACACCCTGCAACCCTGAGTGATATAACCAGACAACTGAATTTTGGGGGTTGCAGAGGTCGAGACTTAGTTTCTGATCCTACTTCCAAAACAGGTCGTTAGCGGATTCACTTTGTCCTAGCTTGGTGAAACCCATCATTCTGAGTTTTAAAGCTATGCATAGATCCTGCACTAACCACTTCATTTTCCAGGTCATTCCACTTCTTGAATATCCTGGAGCTGAAGAAATGCTTCCTGACATCTTTGTAACTTACCTTAATTTTTAACTTCCATCTTTAAGTACCTATTTTCAACTTTTCAAACATCCTGTTATATGCACCTTAAACATATATAGTTATTCGGCATGTTCTAAGTCAGCCACCATTCCTACATCCATCTTTGCAAGCTGTAAGCATGGTAACTCACGCTAGTTAGTGGTTGTATGGAAACTAGATTCTCTGGTTTACATTAAGTGTCCTGAGGGAAAACCTGGGAGGGACGGGGAGAAAGATGATTTGATTATTTTTTCTAGGCAATTAATCTGTCCAACTGGACATGTTCAGAGAGAATAAAAAGCACAACACCGTGGCTGGAACAATGCACAAATAACCAGGACATCGGAGAATGAAACTTATGACGACGTTTCAGTCCGATTTAGACCATTAACTACTCGCACATATGCGCGAAGGGAAGGGAGCCAGTAAATTTTAAGTTGGCACTATTACTACTACAACTGCTGCTGCTGCCGCTATTACTATTACTACTACTACTGCTATTACTGTACTACTACTATTACCACTACCTATACCAATATTTCTACGATTATACTACTTCCTCCTCTCATTCTCCCGGCTCTGCTCCCCCTCTCGTATATATTCTGGCTACCTCCCCTCCGTGTTTCTATGTGACTGATTAATGATTAAAGTCGGACCGAAACGCCGTCAGAATTTTCATCCTCTTTTGCGCTTTTTTTATATACTCTCAGTCAGCTGGTGCACATCTAATTATAACTTTTGTGTGTGGTGTGTGTGTGTGTGTGTGTGTGTGTGTGTGTGTGTGTGTGTGTGTGTGTGTGTGATAGTTCACATTCTCTGTTTCTTATTAAGATGGATTGTGTTGAAATACTTGAACTTTAATCAATATTGTACATTGCGATTTGGTAGAGGAATAAGGCATACACTCGGTCATATTAGTTATAACTAAAGTCTAACTTCTTTTCTTACTGAGCGATAATTTTAACAGTTACTGCCCATTACTTATTGCTTGATGAGTTTCTCCATTGTTGAAGTACAAGTGGTAATTCCACCGGTGAGACCTTCAATGCTTTTGGGAGCGTCTAAAAGACACACGTTGACAGCTGAGGAACTTTGTGATTTCATATGCAACAGATCATTTTTTTTTTAACAATTGCGACTCATTCTACTTGGATGGTTGACGAAGTGCAAGGTACTCGTGATAGCCCCAGTTCCCGTGATCATTCGTCAGTAGAAAAGGCAGGTAGGACTGTAGGAGCTGGGCACATAATGAATATGGTGAATAATTTAACTTATAAAATTCTGCGATATTGGTACCACACTTTCCTGAAAACAAGTCTGTGATTTTTTTCAGGCTCGAGTCATACTGTGACCAAAAGAATTTGTTCATGCTCACGTTCATGCAGCATTACAGTAAAGCATAACAGTACTCAGCTTGCATGTTTGATGACGATTAATTAAATTATAATGTAGTCAAAATGCTTGTGTTGGGGGACTAACTAGTGTATACCGGCTAAGTACCTGTGATAGTTTAAACTAGCTAAACGCCATCATGGCAGACTATCGTTTAGATAGCCCGTGAAAAAATTGCTTCATTAAACGATGTACATTTTACTGGTCAGAATTTTTAGTGACCTGTTCCGGTTAGTATTGGTGGGTAACTTTTTTGAATAAAGCAGCTCAAACGAAAATACTCAGATAACAGATTATCAGAGAAACATTTTTGATGTTTCTAATGTTAGAGGCAATCACAAATGTTACATTACTACATGGAATAACCACGTAAGGGAATTAAAGATAATTAGGTAACACTGTAACAAATTTTATCAATCTTTTGTAGTCAGTTTCAAACATTAAAACCAGTCACTTGGTGAAGATGGTAGACACTGAAACAAAGGGAAACAAATAAAACGAAAACCTACTGGATATATCAGGTTACAGAACAAGGCGCGTTATTCTAGATTTGTTGCACTAGATGTAAAAGTAACTCCAAGGTCAAGTTCCTGTGGAGTAACTCAACAGCTATCTCAGGTCATGAATCAACCTCTTCCTCTGACCAAGAGTTTCCCTGCCACCTGTGTATAATGTTTAATGAATGTCTACAAGGCAGTGTCCAATATGGATAACTTCATAGCTTCTAGACAAAAACTACAACACCTGTGACATACCCGTGACCTGGCCAGAAGTTTGCCTTAAGGCCGGGACCTCAATCAAGCTATTGTTGTCAGCAGCTCATAGGTACACACAGATATCACAACCTGCCCGATAGGTTTCAGTAACATACTCACAGTTGTGACCAATATCAAGGGAGAAAATGTCTGCGGCGGATCGTTGTCCGCGGTGCATCAGCTCATATCTGAAGGTCTTCTTCTCCTTCTTGGCCACATTCTTGGCGTGGAGGCTGGAGGTGAGGTCGTGACACACGCTGAAGAAACGATCACTATACATCTGCCGAAAGCATAACACATGACATTACAACCACACAACATATCATGTAGGTTAGAGTTCCCAAACATGAGAGAAGCAGTAAAGAAGCTTCATTAGTAGTAATAAACCTTCATTCCTTATTACATTCTATGAATGATGTAGAAAATAAATCATCATTAATGTTAAGCAATAAATCGTATTGTAAAGATTCAAATATGCAATATATCCTAACAAATTATTTTCATGTTTTGTATTGTAGGAGAAATAATTTATTAGCACAAGTTCATCTATGTTAATGATGATCAATTATGGGAGTAATGTATAATTAATTCATTTATTAAAGCAGAAGTTTTACCAGTTACAGATACCCATGGGTGGTATTTGATAGTTACCAACGTGAGATCGAATCCTGCTGGCTGCGGGTGAGAAATCATGAAACGCTTAGGTCACTAATTTTTCACAGTGGGTGTTCTGTATATTGCAATAACACCTGTTTACCGTGATCTTATTGCATATAAATATAAATAATATATATATATATATATATATATATATATATATATATATATATATATATATTGTCGTGCCGAATATGTAAAACTGGTCAATTAGCAAGAACTCATTTAAAATTAAGTCCTTTCTAAAATTTTCTCTTATACGTTTAAAGATATATTTTTTTCATTAATGTTGATGTAAAAATTTATAATTTTGCACCAAAAGGAACTTAGAAAACTTACCTAACCTTATTATAACAAGCGCAATTTATTTTAGCCTAACCCAACTAAATATATTTTAGATTTGTTTACAATAATTTAATACTAAACAAACACAATGAAATATATTTTTTTTGTTGGGTTCAGAATGATTTTGGCGAAATTATTGCATACACAAATTTTCACTTGTCTTATATGGCAAGATGAGCGTTGCTATTTAAGCCAAGATAGCAAGTTCTGCCTATTCGGCACGACATATATAATATATATATATATATATTATATATATATAATATATATATATATATATATATATATATATATATATATATATATATATATATATCGTGCCGAATATGTGAAACTTGTGATCTTGGCTTAAATAGCTTCGCTCATCTTGCCATATAAACAAGCGAAAATTTGTGTATCCAATAATTTCGCAAAAATCATTCTGAACCTAACGAAAAAAATATATTTCATTGTGTTTGTTTAGTATTAAATTATTGTAAACGTATCTAAAATATATTTAGTTGGATTTAGCCAAAATAAATTGAGCTTGTTATAATGAGGTTAGGTAAGTTTTCTTAGATTCTTTTGGTACAAAATCATAAATTTTTACATTAACATTAATGAAAAAAAATATAATCTAAACGTATAAGAGAAAATTTAAGAAAGGACAATTTTAAATGAGTTCTTGCTAATTGACCAGTTTTACATATTCGGCACGACATATTATATATGTATATATATATATATATATATATATATATATATATATATATATATATATATATATATATATATATATATATATATATATATTTAAAAAAAAATGTAGGGAAGTACCACCTCTATAGCTGGACTGGGGACCCTCATCCTCAGAGAAGACAATAAACGTACCTCAGGGAAAAGTCAAGGTTCTCCCTGGAGCTGTTTGAATATTTTCTTCTCCTACGAACAAGTGGTTTTTAAGTTAATAACTGCACTGGTCCAGCCTCTAACCCTCTTACACGTCACCCGGGTAGCCTGTTTAAACTCGAGACGCCCTAATCCACTGGACAACCAATCTCACATACAACAGGCGTCTAGTAGCACTAGGAGTCACTTCTGTTGCGGAGACATTCGTGGCTGTGGCAGTCTAAGGATCAATTTCCTTCTCTCGTTTGGAATACCAGTTACACTAGCAGTTTACATATTAGTGCATCCACGAATAAGTGGATCCACTAAATAACAACTTCACTGGCCGAGCCTCGAACCCTCGAGCTTTAACACGCCACCTGAGCAGCCTGTTCGAGAGTGGTACGCTCAGACAAATTTCATGCTCCTCCCCAATGGGAGCAGTACACAAGTCTGACAAGGGTGCCAGCTTAGCGCTTTTCGCGCTGGATTTAGTGCGTTTCGATTTTTCTAGCGGGAGGTTTTCCTAAACTGCGCTGACGCGCTTTTTAGTTTTTTGTTGACCTTGAGTAAAATCTAGCCCGTTTTCGCCATCTATTTTTTAACCTAGCTAAGTATATATGTAATAAGCAAAAGCCTTTCTGAAGTTCTAGTTAGACAGGTCCAGATTACGTTCAGTCATAACTCACCTGACGTGAGTGATAGTGCGAACCTATGGCTGACAAAGTGTGAAACATCCCTCACACCAGTTGGGCTTTTGTCTAGATCGCCGCTTGTTATCGTTATCCTTACTATTATTGTTACTTTATTTGCTCTAACTATTCATTATGAACAAGAAATATACTCAGCATTTTAGAGACCAGTGACTCCAGATACGAGGACAGAAGAAACGAAAACTGAAGAACCATTCAGTGCACAAAAACAATGCTTTAATCTGAAACTCGGTGATGATGTAAGAAGAACAAAGGGAAATATGTCTTTGTTCATTACTGAACGTCGTTCATTACAAGTAGTTGACCACTTTAGTGAACTCTGCAAAGAACCTTTTTTTTCTGGCAGTTCTTGATGTAAAAGATCAGGACGACAAAACATTGTGCAGTTGTTTACAATGAACTTGCACAATAATTTTAGTGATGACTTGAAAGCTGATATTGGAAATAGTAAATTCAACTTATTAATAGATGAAAGAAATGGAATTTTTGTAACTAAAGTATTAAGTATAACTATTAGGTATTATTCTGAGATAAAGAAACAGATTGTGGTTACTTATTTAGAGCTAACTGAAGTGTTTGACTGTAGTGCTGATGCAATAAGCGAGGCTTCAAAGGAATACTTGGAAAATAATGAACTTAAGTTACAAAAACCTTTTGTTCTAGGCATTGACAATGTTTCTGTTACGACCTGTGTCAAGAGTGTTACAGTAACCTATTGTTCTAGGCACTGATAATGCTCCTGTTACGACCTGTGTCAAGAGTGTTACAGTAACCTATTGTTCTAGGCACTGATAATGCTCCTGTTACGACCTGTGTCAAGAGTGTTACAGTAACTTATTGTTCTAGGCACTTATAATGCTCCTGTTACGACCTGTGTCAAGAGTGTTACAGTAACCTATTGTTCTAGGCACTGATAATGCTCCTGTTACGACCTGTATCAAGTGTGTTACAGTAACCTATTGTTCTAGGCACTGATAATGCTCCTGTTACGACCTGTGTCAAGTATGTTACAGTAACCTATTGTTCTAGGCACTGATAATGCTCCTGTTACGAACTGTGTCAAGAGTGTTACAGTAACCTATTGTTCTAGGCACTGATGATGCTCCTGTTACGACCTGTGTCAACAGTGTTACAGTAACCTATTGTTCTAGGCACTGATAATGCTCCTGTTACGACCTGTGTCAACAGTGTTACAGTAACCTATTGTTCTAGGCACTGATAATGCTCCTGTTACGACCTGTGTCAACAGTGTTACAGTAACCTATTGTTCTAGGCACTGATAATGCTCCTGTTACGACCTGTGTCAACAGTGTTACAGTAACCTATTGTTCTAGGCACTGATAATGCTCCTGTTACGACCTGTGTCAACAGTGTTACAGTAACCTATTGTTCTAGGCACTGATAATGCTTCTATTACGACCTGTGTCAAAAGTTTGAGAGCTGTTTTGATTATTTAATATGCACTGAGAAGGCATGGTAAATTCTGCTATTACAAACTACCAAATGAAGTAGTGCGAATAATAGACTCCATATATGCATATCAACCTCGTCTTTCTTAACATTCACAACAAGAAATAGCTACATACGTTGAGGAAGAAATGGTTGACTGGGATTTAGCAAATCTAGAATAATCTCTACATACTAGTGAATGAGGGCAATGCATGATGTGTTATTTTTGCAAAGAATAATGTCAGAGCGTTTTTAAGCATTTTTTTTAGCTGGTTTTAGGCAAAATTTCATTTGGCAACTCTGAGTCAGTTCAGTGCAACCCCGGATACAGGTAATTTTTAATTTAAGCTAAGAGCAATACTGCGACTCGCCCAGATGCAGTCTCGTGTTCATCTACGTGTGATTTTTTTTTTTCATTTTAAGTAATTTCTTTTGGGAAAAAATATGTATATTGAGCATATTGTATGTTGTTGAGAAAATGTAACATTTGTAGTTCCCTTCATTACTGTGTGCACAATTTTCGTCAAAAGGATCACGAATCAGATGACTCCCGGTCAGTGCTAGAGAGATGTTCTCTAAGTCATTATAATCTGCTGAACGAGAACCTCGAACCTTAAATTCATTATCCTACATGTGATATTCTCAAATAATAATATATATAATATATATAATACATTTGTGATCATTTGTGCCAAGCACCTCCGTGTTTCCGAGATTATTTAAAGTCTCCTTTTCCAAAACCAATTCTGGCAAGTCACTCCTTGGTTATGTTACAACCTGCTTAATAAAGCAACAAAAACAAGCTCTGAACTGGTTCCAGGAAGTGGCTGGAATCTAAATTGATAGTAAAAAATTTCAGTCACTTCACGTATAATAAAAATACTCTAAAATTTCATCATCGTGTCGTGAAGCCTTTATTATTTCATTTAAAGTTTTCTCCTTTGTTCTTGTTGCAAGTTTAAACCTGTAAAGTAAAAGGACACAAGTGCAACTAATGTGACATTTTATTGTGGTAACGTTTCGCTCTCCAGGAGTTTTGTCAAGCCGATGGTCAATAAAATGTCACATTAGTTGCACATGTGTCCTTTTACTTTACATATTGTCGGTAATTCTACCAACATTATTACAAGTTTAAACCTGTTTTTAGTTTACGCATTAAGAGCTGTTATCCTACCTCAGCTCATTTCAATGCCTCTCTCTCCCCCCCCCCCAGGATACGACCCACAACAATCGACTAACACCCAGGTACCTACATACTGCTAGGTGAACAATATAAACCCCCGTATGCCTCATTTATTGAAATAACATTTAGTGTTGATTTCAAATGCAACCTTCCTCAATTCATTTATCTTATTTCTATATCATCTCCCTATTTATCTTTGTCTTTCCACTATTTCAGCTGTTATTTTCTTTATACAATGATGCTGATCTGGTTTCTTTCCCAGTACCTTTCATAAAATTACTCCCTTGAAATCTTGTGATTTCTAAAATCGGTAGTATGACATCCTTCATAATTTATACTGCCTAAGTCTATAGTTACATAAACCCATTGTCTTCCACAAACATCTATATTTTAAACTATTTCTAGTGTAACAAGTGATACTGCAATATCCTTTCAGTGTTTGTCCAGCCAGCAATCATTACCAACTGCCCTGGACACTCACTCTCCAACCCCACCTCCCACCTCCCCCCTCCCCCTCCCCGTCCCCGTCTCCCTCCTCCCTCCCAAGTAAAATAACATGCATGACAGGGAAAGATGTCTGAGAACAGATACTCGAGAAATCACTGGAGAACTAAATTACATTTTTTTTTGGTAAGACTAACGAGCAAGTTTGAAGATAACATAAAGACCATTTTTTTTGTAAAGAAACCTATATATCTTAATCTCTCCAGTAAAACTGGCAAACAGTTTTTACAGAAAAAAAAATTGAACCTTCCACTAAATATGATCTAGGAAATAAGCAAATTTTCTGTGAGTACACTTCGTAAGTGCTGCAAGTTTGAAGCTAATCAGAAAAGACATTCTGCAATTATGATGTGAAAATCTAAAAACGAACACTAGTTTTAATTTTTCAACAACCTAAACCTACGATGCATTTGCCCTTTAGTCTGATTCATCAGTGTTGCAAATTTTATGCTATAAAGAGCAGTTACTCCTCAGAAAATAGACAAAGCTTTATTTCTATCAGATAGGCACTCATACAACTTACTAATACTGCAAAACTTACTTTGCGCAAACTGGCACCTACAGAGACCAAGAACATTTTTAACCATCTAAATTATGATACACCGGTGATAGAAGTTTGATTTCGATCAGAAGAGGTGTTGACAAGTTGTCACATTAAAATCTTAAAGGAATAAAATAATCCAACAACATTAGTAACTTATTTCAGGGTCACCTAAATACTCGAATTTCCTCCCACACACCCGCCCTCCTATAAGGACGAATTTCCTCCCACACACCCGCCCTCCAGTATGGACCAATTTCCTCCCACACACCTGCCCTCCTATAAGAACGAATTTCCTCCCACACACCCTCCTATAAGGACGAATTTCCTCCCACACACCCGCCCTCCTATATGGACCAATTTCCTCCCACACACTCGCCCTTCTATAAGGACTAATTTCCTCCCACACACTCGCCCTTCTATAAGGACTAATTTCCTCCCACACACTCGCCCTTCTATAAGGACTAATTTCCTCCCACACACTCGCTCTTCTATAAGGACTAATTTCCTCCCACACACTCGCCCTCCTATATGGACTAACTTCTTCCCACACACCCGCCCTCCTATGTGGACCAATTTCCTCCCACACACTCGCTCTCCTATAACCAAGACTATGCTGTCCATTTTAGCATTTTTAAAGATACACCAAATTGCCTTTATTCCCTCATCAGTTCCTTCTGTTCTCTACTTCATGTTTCTAATAGGTGTTCAAACCTTTCTCTGATTATTATTTAATTCATTGTCACTTAACTAGAACAAACGAAACAATTTCTCTTTGTACTCCACTTTTACCTTATACTTTTCAGTAGCTACACAAATATTTCTGACTCCATGTATCTAATACTCGCTTTGGCGTAGAGATAACTTTGAAAAAGGAAATCCTAAGATGTGGACAATTTAGCGGGTTACACTCAGCTATCTGATGATAATAGGTGTGATACCTGTGTAATGTTCAACTGTGTGATGCTACCCTGCATGGTACTTTTCTGTTTTACGTTCACCTGTGTGATGTTCCCATGTGTGGTGCTTACCTGCGTGTTACTCACCTGTTTCACACCAGTGCGCCGCTCACCTGTCTCACACTAGTGTAGCGCTCACCTGTCTCACACTAGTGTAGCGCTCACCTGTCTCACACTAGTGTAGCGCTCACCTGTCTCACACTAGTGTAGCGCTCACCTGTGTCACGCTCACTAGTATGGCGATCATCTGTGTAACATTCTCCTATATGACTTACCTGTGTGACTCTGTCTGCGTGCTCTATGTCCAAATGCACGCCTCCCAGGTAGTGATCAAAGATCTTCACCGTCTGATTCAAAGGAGCGATATCACCTTCAGTGAACTCTAAGGATAACGGCCCCTTATTTGGGAAGTCATATTTAAGGGATGAACGAAGAGCTTCGTTGGCGAACATAGCTGGTGTGAAAAATAAACGAGACATAAAAATCAGATTACAAAGCCAAAAAGTTATATAAATATGTCACCTAACTTGATGTATTCAAATAATAAGTACATTTAACTAAGGTATATTTAACTAAAATCTTTATAATCTAAAGTCTAGACTGTGTTCCCCGAGAGATGCACTTTAATATCTACCACAATTAGGTAATGCTATGAATGGACTGATTTGTTTTTGTAGATATCTAATATTAACATAAGGATACCTAAAGTAACTACCATAATTTGCTCTCGTCTTACTAAGTTTCACTGCAATAATTTGATAACTCATCTCTTGATAAACTTTACACTTTCACTGCTGGTGTATCACAGTATGGGTCGCAGTATTATTGAGCTGTGCATGTGTAAGGCTGCCAATTTTAAACAGGAAAAGAACTGAACAATTTCTATATGATAAATGGAACGCATCTCCTGTTCAACTTGAAGCCTCGAATGCTGGTGTTTTCTACGTAAAGGAAAAGTTTTTTTATAAGCAAACTTAAATATTAGGGATTATTGTATTCTGTGTACTAGCTAGAGTATGTCACTTGTGTCTAGCTTTACTTTGCAGCACTGGTATAGTTTCTCAGTGGAAGGTTTGCACTGCTATTGCATTGTCATTGCAGATTTGGCCATTTTATGTATAAAATAGTGTGAAGTTTTCATTCTCGCTAAATCTCGTTAAAGAAATTTCAGTTTATCTTTTCCGAACGGCGACAATATTATTAATTCTGATTCATTTTAGAGCCAGAGTAGTAACTATTAAGTTTCGTTTGCATGAGGCAGATTTGTTGATATAGTAAAATATTACAAAAACAGCAACTTGGAACCGTTGTAACCTGTGCCATAACTGAAGAATGATTCATCTGATCGACTTCAAAATTTTACCACTGGTTTAGTTTCATGAACACTAGAATCACGATTCCACTGAGTGACATAAGTTCTAATTTGCCATTCGTAGCAGTAAACAGTTATAGTTATTTCTACTGAGTAACTAAAAAAAATGCTTCTTCTAACTGGCTTCAGAATATTACTATTAATGCACAACTAACCCTTACATAGGACAGAGGAGCTTAAGACGAGTCTTGGTCCGACTTGAACCATTTACAAGTCACTAGTGTGACTTGTAAATGTCACATTTACATGTCACATAGTGACTTGTAAATGTCATTTACAAGCCACACTAGTGACTTGTAAATATCACATTTACAAGTCACACTATTTGCTTGTAAATGGTTCATCATTACTCGCTATAAATTCTACAAGAAGGATGATATCCAACAACTTTTGTCCAAGTTGGGGAAAATTTAAAATATTTCTATATTAGTTAAATACTTGGAATCTTTAGACTCAGATTATTTAGTATAGATCGCTTTTTGGTCGGTTTCAAGTAAATATCATTGGTAGAAGTTATTAAAACAGCTGGTCACTCACTCCTAGCTGCGTAAATTCAAATTTGTCAATTTTATCTAGAAGTTTTTTCTCTAAATCCTAATGTGTCTTAATAGGTACTGATATGCCATTTACTTTATTTGATCAAATGGGATTTTATTTTTTCAGAAATTAATATCAAACGTTTTTCATACAGAGAATCTTAAACAGAAAATAAAGTGGAGAAAATCCTCCTCCGTTTCATGGCGTTGTTAATGTTAACGAAAGGAAACTTTCTTATTTGTTGGAACATTCTCAGTAACATTTTCGCTTACATTCTCTCAAATTTTAATTTATTACTCATGAACGCCTTGGTCGATCAGCTTCAGATTTTCAACGCTTGAGTAATGTATGTTGGACGAGTTTCAGGTGACTATTTGTATTCGTGGGTGCCATATTAACAATGCTACATAGACCGCTCTCAATTTTTTCCCATGTGGTAAGTGGAGACAATCTTCTCTGATCGGCTTCAAAATTTCAAGACGCGTGTATCTTACGTTAAGGAAGGTCTGTGGTATATTTAATGGAGTAAGATGTCATTTAGTCACTTTTATTCTCGAAATGGTATAATAAGGAACGTGTACATAATCTATCTGGGTAGAATTTGCAAAGGGATATGACAAATTTATTTAAATCGTGGACTACCATACCCCAAACTTCGATAGAGACAAAGGGAAACTATTTGCAGGGAAACTGTTAAAACTTCAAGTCACAATAACGTAGTAATTATAGATTTTAATTTCAACCAAATTAACTGGGGTTCCTTGACTGGGAATCTATGAGAGAAACGACGCAAGACTGGTTGGTTCTGTCACAGTTCGTGAGAGAACCAACGACAGGAAAAAAACAGCTGCTTCATTTACGTCTGGCAAACAATGAAACCCTGGTTAATACTCTGGAGATTGTAGAGGAACTTGGCACGAGCGATCACATTTAACAATGAATGGAAGTAGATTAGTAAAGATAATTCAGTAAGAGTTCCAGATTTTTGCTCGGCAGATTAAAATGGGCTTTGAGAACACCAATCATGTGTGGACTGGGGTAGCGATGAGAACTTTCAATATGACTGTTTTCTGAACATTTAACACGCTGCCCGAAGAATATTTATTCCATAAAGAAAAATAAGATCAAATACAAATTGTCCGAAATGGACGACCAGGAGGCTCAAGAATCTTTTAGGAGAGAAGAACGGAATTTATTTGGAGGTTAAAAAAGGGATAAGAAAAACTAAAGGAGACAATAAAATTGAAGCTGCTAAGCATTCAAAAATTATTCTGAAAGTTTTTTTTTTTTCAAATATTTTAGAATACAAAAGTTACAGAAAAGTTAAGTCCACTTAAAACTAACCATGAAGAGCTCAGAGACTGCAAGATATGTGTACCGATTTTTACAATTATTTCTTGTCTTTACTCAAGAAGACACAAACGATATCCCAGTAATTAGTTATTACAATGTGCCTCAGGAAAATAATTATAAATATACAGTTACTTGGAATATGGCAATGAAACAGGTTGGCCGATTGAAGCCGAGTAAGTCCCCTGGCCTCGATAAAAAACAAAAATCGTGGGTTCAAGTGTGCAAGATGGATCTTCGTGAATCACGATTTAAACACGTGTTGTGTATGAGATGAGGAAAATGTGAAAGCAGGGGATAGATCATTACCATCAAATTACCACCCAATAAGTCTGACCTTAATTATATTTGATATATGATGCCACCATGAAAAACAATTTAATGATATTCAACATAAAATCACGAGTAGGAGTTCCTGCCTGACTAGTTTTCTAACTTTCTTAAGTAAAGCATTTGAGGCAGCTGATAGTGATAACGAATACAATATAATTCATTTTGTTTTCAGCAAAGCTTTGATAGAGTACCACACAAAAGACTTAAATTTAGAAAGTAGTAGCTCATGGTACTGGGAAAAAAATCTTGTCCTGAATTAAGTCCTGACCAATAGGATCCAGACAACCTGCATAAATGTCATGAAATCTGAGTGGGGATTAATTACAAGTGGTGTCCCCACAAGGGCCAACTTTATGCCCATTGTTGTTGATAATTTACTTTAATTACCTAGACGATGAAATAACAGTAATATGAAAAAATTCGCTGACACAAAAATTTTCAGAGGAAGATTCAACTGAACTTCAGGAGGATTTAGACAAGCTAATGACGTAGTCAGAAAAGTGGTAGATGCAGTTCAATGTAGATAACTGCAAAATCCTAAAGCACGAAAATATGAACAACCCTGGCACAGGACCATTCAGAGTGTGAAAAGGACTTGGTACATATGGTAAGCAGCAACCTGAAGCCAAGACACCAGTGTCTGAGCGTGCGTATTAATGCTAACAGATTTCTGGGATATATATAAAGAACTATAAGCCGTAGGAGTCCAGAGGTTATATTATATATACATCATTAATAAGGTATCGCTTAAATTCTGCATTATGTAGTACTGGTTTCCGTACTACATAATGAACTTTTTGTAAATTCTTTGGAGAATATACAAAGACAGATGAACAAATTAACCCACTGCATTAGCAATGCTTTATATGAAAATAGATTGAAAGTCCTTAACCTACATTCTCTTGTAAGACGGAGAATGAGGGAAAGCATGACTGAAGTAAGTGAAAGACGGGCATAAATAAAGGTGATAAAGGTTCTGATGATATCATTTCAAGAAAGAATTCGGAATAATGAATTCGAATTGCATAAGTTTAGGTTTGGAAAGGATGTAGAAAAGAACTGAGTGAGAGTGTCTGTCTAGTAGGGTCAATAAAGTTAATAAGTGAAGCTTCAAAAATAGGTTGCATAAATTCATGAGTGAGAGGGGATGCTTGTGAGAGGGGATGCTTGTGAGAGGGGATGCTTGTGAGAGGGGATGCTTGTGAGAGGGGATGCTTGTGAGGGGATGCTTGTGAGAGGGGATGCTTGTGAGGGGATGCTTGTGAGAGGGGATGCTTGTGAGAGGGGATGCTTGTGAGGGGATACTTGTTGAGAGGGGATGCTTGTGAGGGGATGCTTGTGAGGGGATGCTTGTGAGGGGATGCTTGTGAGGGGATGCTTGTGAGAGGGGATGCTTGTGAGAGGGGATGCTTGTGAGAGGGGATGCTTGTGAGAGGCGATGCTTGTGAGAGGCGATGCTTGTGAGAGGGGATGCTTGTGAGAGGGGATGCTTGTGAGAGAGGATGCTTGTGAGAGGGGATGCTTGTGAGAGGGGATGCTTGTGAGAGGGGATGCTTGTGAGGGGATGCTTGTGAGGGGATGCTTGTGAGAGGGGATGCTTGTGACGGGATGCTTGTGAGGGATGCTTGTGAGAGGGATGCTTGTGAGGGGATGCTTGTGAGGGGATGCTTGTGAGAGGCGATGCTTGTGAGAGGCGATGCTTGTGAGAGGGGATGCTTGTGAGAGGGGATGCTTGTGAGGGGATGCTTGTGGAGGGGATGCTTGTGAGGGGATACTTGTGAGGGGATGCTTGTGAGAGGGGATGCTTGTGAGGGGATGCTTGTGAGGGGATGCTTGTGAGAGGGGATGCTTGTGAGAGGGGATGCTTGTGAGAGGGGATGCTTGTGAGAGGGGATGCTTGTGAGGGGATGCTTGTGAGAGGGGATGCTTGTGAGAGGGGATGCTTGTGAGAGGGGATGCTTGTGAGAGGGGATGCTTGTGAGAGGGGATGCTTGTGAGAGGGGATGCTTGTGAGGGGATGCTTGTGAGGGGATGGCTTGTGAGAGGGGATGCTTGTGAGAGGGGATGCTTGTGAGAGGGGATGCTTGTGAGGGATGCTTGTGAGGGGATGCTTGTGAGAGGGGATGCTTGTGAGGGGATGCTTGTGAGGGGATGCTTGTGAGGGGATGCTTGTGAGAGGGGATGTTTGTGAGAGGGATGCTTGTGAGAGGGGATGCTTGTGAGAGGGGATGCTTGTGAGAGGGGATGCTTGTGAGAGGGGATTAATTGTGAGAGGGGATGCTTGTGAGGGGGATGCTTGTGAGAGGGGTTGCTTGTGAGGGGATGCTTGTGAGAGGGGATGCTTGTGAGAGGGGATGCTTGTGAGAGGGGATGCTTGTGAGGGGATGCTTGTGAGAGGGGATGCTTGTGAGAGGGGATGTTTGTGAGAGGGGATGCTTGTGAGAGGGGATGCTTGTGAGAGGGGATGCTTGTGAGGGGATGCTTGTCAGAGGGGATGCTTGTGAGAGGGGATGCTTGTGAGAGGGGATGCTTGTGAGTGGACAAAAATATTTTTCTTAGAAATTTTGGGGCTGGGAAGGACCAGCCTAATATGGGCCGGTAGACTGAAAATGTATGGTGATACCGACAATACGAACATAAAGACACCTAAGCACTTTTCAAGACATTTGTTGAGGAAACGTTTCACCACGAGAACTGCAGAAGCCACTCGTGGCACAACGTTCCCACAATGTCTTGAGAAGTTCATGTAAGTCTTGATCTATATACATGAGCCGGTAATCTGCTTCAAGTATTCCTTAATTTATATGTTCTTATTATTTTACGTTGTGTCATTATTTTGCCCCTCACCAGGCGCTATATGACCCCTGAGATCATATAGCGCTATATGACCCCTGAGATCATATAGCGCTATATGACCCCTGAGATCATATAGCGCTATATAATAACAGGCGCTATATGACCCCTGAGATCATATAGCGCTATATAATCACAGGCGCTATATGACCCCTGAGATCATATAGCGCTATATAATCACAGGCGCTATATGGCCCCTGCGGACCATATAGCGCTATATGACCACAGGTGCTACATAACACCTGCGGACCATATAGCGCTATATGACCACAGGCGCTATATGACCCCTGCGGATTTAGAGCTTTCCTCTTACTGAAACATAACTGTGAACAGCATCAATGACTTGTTCAACGTATGAAACTGATGGAACGTTGTGTGTATTAGGCTGTGTAGCCACATTGTTGTACTCTGCGGTGCACCTGGAAAATGTATCTTCTGCTCTGCTTTCAACTTTCAGTACTGACGTGTTTTTTCTCAAAGGAAACAATCTCTTGATGTTAGGTTGTGTAAATTATCATTAGATAATTTTGTTAACCAGTTTCCCTGAAACAAGTGGAAAATACGTCTACTGATCAAAAATAAGTCGGTGTTTAATTTTATTTCGTTATCCTAGTTAAATCTGTGAGCCCTCTAGACCACTGCTAAAAAAGTTATATACACAAAACTTATATAAAACTTATTTACTTATTTACTTCCTTAAAAACTTATCACTCTCACTTAGAGAAAATAATACTTTTTTTTGTCATATTTCTGAGTGCCGCGTCTATTTTCAACCTTCCTTGCTGATGACTTGTTAATACAACTTCCGAACTGCTTCACGTTTAATGTTCTTGTGTTTTTAGGATATTGTTCTGTTTGGTGTCTCTGAAAAGTTTGAATTATCTTCGGAAAGTTTATATCCTAATTTATCATTTTTAGTGAAGATATTTAGTTATTAGATCCATATAATGACTTGTAAATGACTGTTCCTATTCCCTTTAAATCTTCCACACCATTATTTAATTGCACTCTCAACTTATGCCACACACTGCACTATTCCAATAGCGTCCATTGAGGCATAGGGGGCTGGGGTTATTGAATATAGGGATACCTTCCTCGTATCGCCCTACGACAGACATGCATCCAGTTTTATTAATAATTTAATTACGTGAGATTCTGACATTGACACTAAAAGAAACGTCTAATTAACGTTAATGGTTTACAAAAAAAGAAGAAAATTGGAAAAAGTTAAGCACTGTGATACTTACGCAAGGTAATAAAGGCTCCTTCGTGTTGGTTGATGCCAGAGATGAGATGAACATTCTTGTGTCTACTTTCTTTCATGAGTTGCTCTGGTTCAGACGGTATGAAGTTCCCGTCCACTCGGGGTCCCAACAACAGGGGGACCATATGCCACTTCTGTAACAACAGAGGTGTTATTTTAGATACTGAACAGATTTTTGACAACAGCCATACACAATCGTCTCTTATTTTTGCTTTAGATACGAAATGAAGCTCTGAGCACTGATAAGCGTTCATTACCCTTATTCATCTCTGATAAAAGACAAGAGAGCAAAATGATAAATGAACGATTACCATTTTAAATTTATTAAGAGGATACGATCCTAAGATGATGTTACGTCGCACCCAAGGACCGCCTTCTGAAGGGTAGGGGGTTGGTGCCTTTTTGCTGGTGAGGAGGTTCTTGATCTAAGCATATCCAGCTACCCTTCCTTTCTTAAATTATACACGAATTCCCCTTTACCTAACTATGGATACTTGTAATAGATTCATTAGCAAAATGATGATGACGATATGAACAAGCAGAAGAAGAAGAAGAAGAAGAAGAAGAAGAAGAAGAAGAAGAAGAAGAAGAAGAAGCAGAAGAAGAAGCAGAAGAAGAAGCAGAAGAAGAAGCAGAAGAAGAAGCAGAAGAAGAAGAAGCAGAAGAAGAAGAAGCAGAAGAAGAAGAAGCAGAAGAAGAAGAAGAAGCAGAAGAAGAAGAAGCAGAAGAAGAAGAAGAAGCAGAAGAAGCAGAAGAAGAAGCAGAAGAAGAAGCAGAAGAAGCAGCAGCAGCAGCAGCAGCAGCAGCAGCAGCAGCAGCAGCAGCAGCAGCAGCAGCAGCGGCAGCAGACCAATCGAAATATTCTGGTCGAAGGAGACTCGAACCTACGAACCTTGGAACAAGGTACACAGTGCTCTTCCGCCGTATTAATCGAGGAAAATATCTAGTTAGACCGAGAATGCTCGGGTTATTTCTATAATTCCATATGTGACTTGTGCTTTTACTGTCTTGAGGCAGACAAAGTTACTCACGGTGAAGTGGAACAAAACGGGCACGAGGTCGTTGACGTCAACGGCTTGTAAGCATGAGATGAGCTGGTGGGTGTCGTCAGTGGTGCAATTGAAGAGGCTACCAGTATATTCAGCCACGGCTGCGTGAGCACCACCTAACGACCAGGGACACAGGGCGGAGCCAGACTGCAAGATGGCCTGTTGGAACAATCCTGCAGCAACAAATATAAGTTATTTATTTTCATAAATGAATAAACTTTAATATTATCACTTAGTTATGTTGGTACTTACACAAAATTATGGTATTATTTTACTACAATAATGTGCAATAGTCATATTCATGAAAAAATCATTAAATTTCTTACCAAGTGACTTGTGCGACAAAATTTGGAAGTGAATAGATCCAGCTCCAGCGCTCTCTCCAAACAATGTAATCTTAAGAGGATCTCCCCCAAAGTTGTGAACGTTCCACTGCACCCAAGTCAGTGCTAATGTCTGGTCCTTGAGACCCAGGTTACCAGGAGCTGCATCGTCCTCAGTGGAGAGGAACCCTAACAAATATAAATAAGGATTATATATATATATATATATTATATATATATATATATATATATATATATATATATATATATATATTTTATATATATATTATATATATATTATATATAATTATTGTAACCACGAACGAGTGGTATTTAATAAACTGCGGCTAGCCGAGGGATTGAACTGGTGTTGTTTCAGCTCGCCTCGTGAGATCAGAGTGAAAATTCAGGACTCTCTAAATCATTGTTTTAATTCCCGGCTAGCCGCAGTCTGCTATTGATTAAATATCCTTTGTTCATGGTTACAGTAATATATGTACTGCTTTTGGAAGCAAGTATACCAAACGGGGAGTAGAATGAAATTAGTGCTTGCAACATGAAGCAAGCCTAGTTCGCTAGGCTCATGTTGATTGTAGGATTGTATGGTCAGTGGTTTAGAGAGTCGTGAATTCTCGTTCTTTTCCCACAAGGCGGGCTAAAACAACACGTGTTCAATCCCCCGGTTAGCCGCAGTCTATCGAATATATATATTAGTGAAAGAATAGTGAAATTCCAAGCGCATTCGTGACTTCTCACATTATCAAGGAACTATAAAAGTAATACATCAAAGGAAGGCACATAAAGGGTCTAGACCACACCTCACCATCACATCCCACAGCAAAACAACACCTGATGCGTGACAACACGCGAATCATAAGAAAAAACACTGCAGTAGGCATGCTGGCCCAACTAGACAGGTCCTTCACAAAATATTCTACCCAAGAATTAAGATTTATTATTTGTCCAATGTATTATTAAATTCTTCCCAAATTTTATTAATTATAAACGGATCTAATTTATGTAAACCAAAGGAAATATTCATATTTTCAGAACTATTTTTTTATGAAACATGATTCAATTCTATTTCTGTCGACCATGGACTTGCTTGATATTATATATATATATATATATATATACAGTGGACCCCCGCTTAACGATCACCTCCAAATGCGACCAATTATGTAAGTGTATTTATGTAAGTGCGTTTGTACGTGTATGTTTGGGGGTCTGAAATGGACTAATCTACTTCACAATATTCCTTATGGGAAAAAATTCGGTCAGTACTGGCACCTGAACATACTACTGGAATGAAAAAAGTTCGTTAACCGGGGGTCCACTGTATATATATATATATATATATATGTTATATATATATATACATACACACACACATTTTATTGTGACCACGAACGAGTGGTATTGATCAATAACAACACTGCACTAGCCAAGGACTCGAACCTATGCTGCTTTGGCCTGCCGCATGGTGGACAAAAGCACATGACGCCCTAATCCACTGGACCATATGAAGGATCGTATGGTCCAGTGGATTAGGGCGCCTTCTCGAGGGCCGAGAAAAACTAATTTTGGGTGTGATTTACAGGGCCCCAAATCTTAATAGGGAGTGCAGTAAACTTCTATGGGACGAAATTCGTAAGGCATCTACATACGAAAATGTTGTGCTAATGGGAGATTTCAACTATAGACAGATTGACTGGAGCAATTTGACAGGAAATTTAGAGTCAGGTGACTTTCTTGATACGATCCAGGATTGTTTTTTAAAACAGTTTGTGACAGAGCCAACTAGGGGAAATAACCTCCTTGACTTGGTTCTTGCCAGTAGGGAAACACTAATTAATAATCTTGAGGTTAATGATGAGCTTGGGGAAAGTGATCACAAATCACTCAGTTTTAATATATCATGGAATTCCCCTAATAATGGCAATCAAGTCTCCGTCCCTGACTTTCGCTTGGCTGATTTCATAGGACTGAAAAATTACTTAGGTGGGCTGAACTGGAATGACCTGACTAAGGGTCAGGTAGGTGGTGATGGTTGCCGATATGATGCTTTCCAGGGCATAGTTCTAGCTGCTCAGTCAAATTATGTTCCAAATAGGGAAATCAGATCAAACAAAATGATCCTAAATGGATGAACAATAGATTAAAATATCTGATTGGTCAAAAGAGAGGCATATATAGGCAAATCAAAAGAGGAGAGGGGCAATTTAGGAAATCGATATATTCAGTTAAAGAGAGAAATAAAAAGGGAATTAGAAAAGCAAAAAGAGATTATGAGGTTAAAGTTGCAAGAGAATCGAAGACTAACCCAAAGGATTCTTTCAGGTATACAGAAGTAAGATCAGGGACAAGATAGGCCCACTCAAAAGTTCCTGGGTCAGCTCACTGACAGTGATTAAGGAAATGTGTAGAATTTTTAACACATACTTCCTCTCAGTTTTTACACAGGAGGATACCAGCGATATTCCAGTAATGATAAAATTATGTAGAACAGGACGATAATAAACTGTGCACTATTAGGTCACAAGTGACATGGTCCTTAGGCAAATAGATAAATTAAAACCTAACAAATCCCCAGGCCTGATGAACTGTATGCAAGGGTTCTAAAGGAATGTAAAGAGGAGCTTAGCACACCTTTGGCTAATCTTTTCAACATATCACTACAAACTGGCATGGTGCAGATAAGTGGAAAATGACAAATGTGATACCTATTTTCAAAACAGGTGACAGGTCCTTAGCTACGAACTATGGACCAATAAGCCTAACCTCCATAGTGGGAAAATTTATGGAATCAATAATTGCCGGGGCAGTTCGTAGCCCCCTTGAAAAGCATAAATTAATAAAACGAATCTCAGCATGGTTTTACAAAGGGGCGTTCCTCCCTTACGAATTTATTAACTTTTTTCACTAAGGTATTTGAGGAGGTAGATCATGGTAATGATATGATATTGTGTATATGGACTTCAGTAAGGCTTTTGACAGGGTCCCACATCAGAGACTATTGAGGAAAATTAAAGCACATGGAATAGGGGGAGAAATTTTTTCCTGGATAGAGGCATGGTTGACAAATAGGCAGCAGGAGTTTGCATAAATGGGGAGAAATCAGAGTGGGGAAGTGTCACGAGCGGTGTTCCACAGGGGGTCAGTTTTTGGGCCCCCTGCTGTTCACAATCTACATAAACGACATAGATGATGGCATAAAGAGCGACATCGGCAAGTTTGCCGATGACACCAAATAGGCCGTCGAATTCATTCTGACGGGGGACATTCGAAGCACTCCAGGAAGATTTGAATAGACTGATGCAGTGGTCAGAGAAGTGGCAGATGCAGTTTAATATAGACAAATGCAAAGTTCTAAATGTTGGACAGGACAATAACCATGCCACATATAAACTAAAAAATGTAGATCTTAATTTTTACGGATTGCGAAAAAGATTTAGGAGTTTGGTTAGCAGTAATCTGAAACCAAGGGACAACAGTGCATAAGTGTTCGCAATAAAGCTAATAGAATCCTTGGCTTCATATCAAGAAGCATAAATAATAGGAGTCCTCAGGTTGTTCTTCAACTTTTTACTCCTTGGTTAGGCCTCATTTAGATTATGCTCCCACAGTTTGGTCACCGTATTACAGAATGGATATAAATTCTCTGGAAAATGTAAAAAGGAGGATGACAAAGTTGATCCCATGTATCAGAAACCTTCCTATGAGGATAGACTAAGGGCCCTGAAACTGCACTTCTAGAAAGAGTAGAATTAGGGGGGATATGATTGAGGTGTATAAATGGAAGACAGGAATAAATAAAGGGGATGTAATAGTGTGCTGAAAATATTAGCTGGGACAGGACTCGCAGCAAGGGTTTTTTAAGTTGGAAAAATTCAGATTCAGGAAGGATATAGGAAAGTACTGGTTTGGTAATAGAGTTGTGGATGAGTGGAACAAACTCCCAAGTACCGTTATAGAGGCCAGAACGTTGTGTAGCTTTAAAAATAGGTTGGATAAATACATGAGTAGATGTGGGTGGGTGTGAGTTAGACCTGATAGCTTGTGCTACCAGGTCGGTTGCCGTGTTCCTCCCTTAAGTCAATGTGACCTGACCTGACTAGGTTGGGTGCATTGGCTTAAGCCGGTAGGAGACTTGGACCTGCCTCGCATGGGCCAGTAGGCCTGCTTCAGTGTTCCTTCGTTCTTATGTTCTTATGTGTTTTCGCCCACCATGAGGCAGGCCAAAGCACCATGGGTTCGAGTCCTTGGCTAGTGCAGTGTTGTTGTTGATATATATATATATATGAACTTTAAAAAGGGTTATAAAATCCCGAAGGTTGTCAGGTAAGACACATATGCAACAGTTAGGTATCTTTATAAAGATCCCTAACTGTTGCATATGTGTCTTACCTACATATATATATATTTATATATATAATATATATATATATATATATATATTTTATATATATATATATATATATATATTATACATGTCGTGCCGAATAGGCAGAACTTGCGATCTTGGCTTAATAGCAACGCTCATCTTGCCATTTAGGGCAAGTGAAAATTTGTGTATGCAATAATTCGCCAAATCTTTCTGAACCTAACGAAATATATATATATATATATATTATATATATATATATATTATATATTATATATATATAATATATATATATTTTATATATATATAACACTGATCTCTGACCGAAGGAGACTCTAACCTACGAACCTTGGAACAAGGTACGCAGTGCCTTACCATTCTCACCACTTACTTTATGGACGATTCCTTTCAAGTTAAGCATGAAATGAAAAGTTTGAAAAATAATAAAGGCGAAAACGGAAGAGAGAAATGTTACAAATGTAAACTAAACTGCAAACTAAAAGGAACATCATTATAAATATGAAAAGTATTTCGGAGCAGGAAGTGAGAATGAATTTTCATATGTGGAATTGGCATGATCAGATCAAGAGAGAGAGAGGAGGGGGGAGGTGGAAGAGAGAATGTTGGAGTGGACTAGAAGATCCTTGCAAAATGGAAAGGGAAGAGTAGCGGGAAGCAACAAAATGATCTCTCTTTGGAAGGACATCAGCTATAAATTAACATAAAAGTAGCTAATTAGCTTTCATCATACATGATATGCACAAAAAAAAATTAACAAATGAAGATAAAAATATTGAAGAGAGAACCATTAATGATTTCGAAGGACGAGGACGAAAATATTGGACAGAAAAATTACTACTTCAGATGCGTCAGTTTGAAACCTTTCCGTGTAAGAGGTGCTAAATATATCTAACCAAGACTGCACTCGTAGCAGTGGGTTCAAGTGTGAAAAACTTAGATTTACAAAGGATATAGGAAAGCATTAGTTTAGTACCATAGTTGTGGATGAGTGAAAAACTCGCGAGTAATGTTATTGAAGAAAAAAACTTGTGTATCTTTAAACATTGGTTAGACAAGTACGTAAGTGGGTGTGGGTGGGCGTGAGGCGGACCTGCTTAGCTTGGGCCAGTAGGCCTGATGCAGTGCTCCTGCTTTCTTATATTCTTAAGTTAACGAAATATTGACATATATCATTAAACTGAATAATTTTCAATTTACTTAATGATAAATGTAATAGCTTATATATATATATATTTTTATTTATATATATATATATATATATATATATATATATATATATATTTTATATATTATATATATATATATATATAAAAGAACGTGTTATTAATAATAAGAAAAATGCCACATTCAAGTAATTTTTCTACAATACCAGTATTTGTCCCCAAAAATGTATTTTTTTAAACACAAATCTTGATGGCAGGGTTCTTACATGCTGGTGATGGGCTTCTAATCCTCTTTCTTGGATCATTTTTGATACAGTAATTATAATTAAAAATAATTATGCTACTTCTACTACTACTACTACTGCTACTACTACTATTTCTACTTCTACTACTACAACTACAACTACAAGTAATAATAATAATAATAATAATATTATAAAACATAAGCTATGTTACCAATAAATTAATATATCTATGACTATAAAAGTAATAAACATTACTCTATAAATTTCGACCTTAATTTGAGGTCCTCTTTAGCAGAATCACTGTCTCACTGAATATGTTTGCTTATGCAAAAAACTTTCTCAGAAAATTACAAGTAGGCTAATGAAATGAATAAGTAGTGATTAATGGATGACAATATTCAAAGAGAAGGTACAACGCTGGGCGACAACATCAACGGGATACAAGTACGTCGTGCATACTGTGAAATAACAGTGAATACGGTGATTAAAGAAAGGTTCTGGGAAAATTTACAGATGGGATGTTATTATTGTAGGATCACATAAATGCAGCTATTCCATTCATGTGCTTTAAAGAAAATTTTCAAAACTGCTTCCGGAAAAACTTCAAAACATATGGTTGGCATCGTTGGAATATTCGATGCTAGATTTTTATCTGCCAGAAACGGCAGTAAATAAGAAACAAAGACAAAGTACTGACCTAGTACACCAAGTCGATACTGGATGGTGACGAGGACGATGTCGTGGTCCATTAAGACGTGTGGAGGATATTCACGAGCGCCGCCGCTCATCCAAGCACCACCATGGATAAACACCATCACAGGCAGCAGCGAGAGACTGTCGTAAGGCTGCGTGTGAGGAAATGTATTGACATATCTTTTAATTTACCGCATGTCTTTTAACATTGTCTTACCCGTAAACATAATCTCGTAGTTCCATATCTTCATTTATATATGTAAACATTAAAATAACAGTCGAAAAATGTCAGTCTTGTTTTTTACTGTAGTTTTGAAGGTGATATCTATATATCTGTAACAGTGTGTATAACCCCGTTTATGGTGCAGGGAACGAGTCTCACCTTTTGGCCCTGACTCTTAAACTGGCCGTTATTGGGTTAACTCTCTCCTGGCTTCATGAGCTTTTTCATACCTGCTCTTCAAACTATGTTAAGATCCTGCCTCTAAGGTCTCATTGTCTAGATCCTATTGTTAACCGATCACTCTGAGACTGAAAAAATACTTCCCGACTTCCACATGAATTATTTATATTTTTAACATCTAATTGTTCCGTCGTGTACACGTTCCGCACTTTTCAAACATACTATACATGTACATCCTATCAAGTACTCTGAATATTTTATATGTCGTTATCATATCTCCCTTGATTCTTCAATCCTCTAATGTTATCGGGTTTAATTTTTTTCAGATTTTCCTCTTGGGTTATCTCCCTTGGCTCTTGATCTGATCATGTTGTATATCTCTATTTCTCCAGTTTTTTAATATGCTTTATCGTGTGTGGGTTCCTTGCTGGTGCTGCATACACCAAGATAAGAGTGACATATAATGTACAAAGAAACATAAGCATCGTTTTCTTGAGATGGGTGCCGCCAGCTATATGCTTTCAGCTATGCTTACTTACCCCAAAGTCTTTCTTCCTCTTTTTTTTTTTTGAGTATGTGTATGTGCCTTGGATATCAGTTATTAATGACACTTGCCAATAGATACTTAGCATGTGTGTGTGTGTGTGTGTGTGTTTGTGTGCGTGTTTGTGTGTGTGTGTGGGTATACATGTGTGTTTATGTTTGTCTCCGCTCATGTGTTAGTGAGGGATTACACATTCGTAGTTACAAAAACAGAGATATGCCAAATGTGCCCCTCCTGATTATCTTCTCCATGACTTTGCATACTATGCAGTCAGTGATATTGGTCTGTAGTTTAAATGCGGCATATCTGTCTCCACTTTAAAAAAATTGGAACTACATTTGCTGTCTTCCACACCTCAGGTAGTCGCCCTTTTCGATACACGTGTTGAACATTGTTTACAGTGGTACACAGCGCCTCTGCCACCACCTTCAGGACCCAAGGAGAGATGTTATCTGGCCCCATTGCCTTTGTGTGTGTGTGTGTGTGTGTGTGTGTGTGTGTGTGTGTGTGTGTGTGTGTGTGTGTGTGTGTGTGTGTGTGTGTGTGTGTGTGTGTGTGTGTGTATGTTTGTGTGAGGTAATCCCTCACCATGTTGGTGTACGATTACATCTTCGTAGTTACAAAAACGGAGATTTGCCAGTTGTACCTCGAATATAAATTTTCCTATCGAGTTTTTATATTTCCAGCAGATGTGACAAACATTACTTTTTGCATCCTGTTCCATCAGTCTACTACTGTATAATATCTGTGCTACTGTATAATATCTGCTCTACTGTACAATATCTGTATTACTCTGTATCTGCACTATTGTATAATATCTGTACAACTGTATAATATCTGTACTATTGTATAATATCTGTACTATTGTATATCTGTACTACTGTATAATATCTGTGCTACTGTATAATATCTGTACTACTGTATAATATCTGCACTACTGTATAATATCTGTACTACTGTATTACATCTGTACTACTGTATAATATTTGCACTAGTGTATATCTGTGCTACTGTATAATATCTGTACTAATGTATATCTGTACTACTGTATAATATCTGCACTACTGTATAATATCTGCACTACTGTATAATATCTGCACTACTGTATAATATCTGCACTACTGTATAATATCTGCACTACTGTATAATATCTGCACTACTGTATAATATCTGCACTACTGTATAATATATGCACTACTGTATAATTTATGCACTACTGTATAATATATGCACTACTGTATAATATCTACCCTACTGTATAATATCTGTACTACTGTATAATATCTGCACTACAGTATAATATCTACCCTACTGTATAATATCTGCACTACAGTATAATATCTACCCTACTTGTCATGTAGGGGGGTGTCGGAATGAATCGGATATAAGTGGGGAATATGGGAGAAGGGGATTATGTAGGCAGGGGAGAGGCAGGCGAGGTGGTAGGAGTGAGATGATTAGCGGAGGTAGGTAGGTAATGACAGGTCAGTGGTGACCACCACGACTCTCTCATTAACTCGACACTTCTCACTAACATATGCCTCGCCCACTCTTCACTCATATATAAACATAATAAAATATAAGAAATAGGAATAGCAAATAACGGGGACAGTGAACATTACTATTCTACTCAAACAGTTTATTATTAAGTCTTTGTACAATAATATATTTGGGAACAGAACATTATTGTGAGTTTAGATAAATGGGGTGGTACACATAAGCAGTGAGACAGGGAATACAATTAGCTTGGCCAAAATGAATGTAACTTACAATATAGTACACTGTAGTTCACTACAGGAACTAAGCCACAGGTCCCAAGACCTACACAGCACGAGTACTGCGCCAAGCCAGTACTCTGCCCAATGCCTCCAACAGTCTCCTCCAGAGACTTCAGCAGCCTTCTCCCGAGCCCTGCACCCCAGCAGCAGCTCCGCTCGAATCTCCCTACTCAGCTCTTCCTTGGGCTTTTATGGTGGTCCAAGCACCCTCCACAACCACGTGTACGACCTGACGCCTAGCTCTGACGCCGTCAAGAACAAAAGACCTCAGACGTGGGCGTGGCTACAGACGTTTGCCAAGGCAAGGTGTGACCATATAATTGGTTAAATTAAGTCTCTCCAGAGACCTCACAAGCCCAGCTGAACTACATCACATACTGTATAATATCTGCACTGCTGTATAATATCTGCACTATTGTATAATATCTGCACTACTGTATAATATCTGTACTACTGTATAATATATGCACTACTGTATAATATATGTACTACTGGATAATATCTGCACTACTGTATATCTGCACTACTGTATAATATCTGCACTACTGTATAATATCTGCACTGCTGTATAATATCTACCCTACTGCATAATATCTGTACTACTGTATAATATCTGTACTACTGTATAATATCTACCCTACTGTATAATATCTACCCTACTGTATAATATCTGTACTACTGTATAATATCTACACTACTGTATAATATCTGCACTACTATATATCTGCACTACTGTATAATATCTGCACTACTGTATAATATCTGCACTACTGTATAATATCTGTGCTACTGTATAATATCTGCACTACTATATAATATCTGCACTATATAATATCTGCACTACTATATAATATCTGCACTACTGTATAATATCTGTACTCCTGTATAATATCTGTACTACTGTATAATATCTGTACTACTGCATAATATCTGCACTACTGTATAATATCTGTACTACTGTATAATATCTGCACTACTGTATAATATCTGTACTACTGTATATCTGTGCTACTGTATAATATCTGTAATAATGTATATCTGTACTACTGTATAATATCTGCACTACTATATATCTGCACTACTGTATAATATCTGCACTACTGTATAATACCTGCACTACTGTATAATATCTGCACTACTGTATAATATCTACACTACTGTATAATATCTGTACTACTGTATAATATATGTGCTACTGTATAATATCTGTGCTACTGTATAATATCTGTGCTACTGTATAATATCTGTGCTACTGTATATCTACACTACTGTATAATATCTACACTACTGTATAATATTTACTCTACTGTATAATATCTGCACCACTGTATATCTGTGCTCTCTATAATATCTGTGCTACTGTGTACTATCTATACTACTGTATAATATATGCACTACTGTATAATATATGTACTACTGGATAATATCTGCACTACTGTATATCTGCACTACTGTATAATATCTGCACTACTGTATAATATCTGCACTGCTGTATAATATCTACCCTACTGCATAATATCTGTACTACTGTATAATATCTGTACTCTATAATATCTACCCTACTGTATAATATCTGTACTACTGTATAATATCTACACTACTGTATAATATCTGCACTACTATATATCTGCACTACTGTATAATATCTGCACTACTGTATAATATCTGTGCTACTGTATAATATCTGCACTACTATATAATATCTGCACTATATAATATCTGCACTACTATATAATATCTGCACTACTGTATAATATCTGTACTCCTGTATAATATCTGTACTACTGTATAATATCTGTACTACTGCATAATATCTGCACTACTGTATAATATCTGTACTACTGTATAATATCTGCACTACTGTATAATATCTGTACTACTGTATAATATCTGTACTACTGCATAATATCTGCACTACTGTATAATACCTGCACTACTGTATATCTGTGCTACTGTATAATATCTGTACTAATGTGTATCTGTACTACTGTATAATATCTGCACTACTATATATCTGCACTACTGTATATCTGCACTACTGTATAATATCTGCACTACTGTATAATACCTGCACTACTGTATAATATCTGCACTACTGTATAATATATGTGCTACTGTATAATATCTGTGCTACTGTATAATATCTGTGCTACTGTATAATATCTGTGCTACTGTATATCTACTCTACTGTATAATATCTACACTACTGTATAATATTTACTCTACTGTATAATATCTGCACCACTGTATATCTGTGCTCTCTATAATATCTGTGCTACTGTGTACTATCTGTACTACTGTATAATATCTGTACTACTGTATAATATCTGTACTACTGGATAATATCTGTACCAGTGTATAATATCTGTGCTACTGTATAATATCTGTGCTACTGTATAATATCTGTACTACTGTGTAATATCTGTA